ACTCACCAAGATCGTAAAGTCCATATATGCACATGATATCAATTTTGTGCTTTCTTCATTCAAAGATATGCTTTCTACTTTGTTTTTATGCCCAATCAACTTTTACTGCCAATTCCATTAAAGATCTTTATTCCAGAATTATATAGTTGAATCATCCCCACATGAGATTATTAAATCTTCACAATTGTTCGAAATTATGCTTCTAATACAACCTGTGTGCCGTTATAAGATTTATGAACATATCCATTCTTTTTTTTCGTTAATTTACCATATTATAATAGTTGAATCTGTTGCTCCTGAGACAAACTATTGGCAACTACTTAAGAAATGTAGACAGCTAATTATGCCTTAATGATTCTTTAAAATCGAAGTTTGTTTCATTTATCCATTTCTAAATTGAAACACTTTGATTATCCCATGTGAATAACCTGCTATTAAAAACGAGGAATCTTGGCTAAATGTAATTGCATATATTTTATCATCTTTAAATGAGCAATTCTTCAAAAGTTCATATTTAAATGATTCACTTACATTATTAGCGATTTTATGTTTATCCGTATCTGATTTTGAGGAAGGAATTTCTTTTTTAAACTATATTTTTAAATATTTACCGTTCTTTTCTTTAATCGGAAGGGAACATTAATTTGGTTTAAAATCAGAAAATTTCTATTATAGATTCATAAATAATTCATTTAGTATATCTTAAATAGATTACAATTTTGCTTTAAATTCTTATTAAATTTACTCCTTGAATTCTTTTTCTTTATTTTATTGGCTAAGGATATCTGCAATTTAGATTATTTCATCCTTTGAGTATGACAGCCATTCTTTTTTAATCAATTATAGCAGTAATTCAAGCATTTTACTTCGATTGAGAGAAAGACTTTTTAATGAAATTATTGATTCATCAATCACATTATTAAATGAATCTTTCCATTATGTTATCAACTAAAGTGCCGACTACACACTATTACTAAAATTTCTATCTTGCAGATTTGAAAAATTTGAAATATATGAAACCAATTGGTTCCACAATATTTTAAACTAATCAAAATCCGTAAACTAAACTATATATTTAGGAACACAATTAGAACATACAATTCTATTGGGAACAACACTTACTTATTTTAGGTCAACAAACATTAATTACTTATTGTGCAAATCGCAAAACCAATTAGTATTTTAATGGAACCGATCTAATCCAAAGGGCATAAATTCTTAACAATTGCCTTAATTCTCACATCTAATGCATGATAACATTTCTTCATGATATTATAAAAATTCCGATAGATCTAAAGCCTTCAGTTGTGATTAAATGTGGGTTTCGATTTCATTAAAATTGAATGATATGTATTTGAATTATGAATAGCTTCTTTCAATATAATCTAAATTCTAATTAGATCCATCTTTATATTAAAAATTATCTTCAATTTTTATATTAGAAAGATGATTTAATTGTTTGTTTATAAATGTAATTATTTCTTCAATTTTTTAGACCATAGATTATTAGATTTATATAAGATTTTCTTTAAGATGATTTAAAATTTCTATATTTTAAGATTTTCTCATCTCATTTTCTTTTAAATATTATAATTTGCAATTCAATATTTATTCTTCTGCCTCTTTTATCAACTTCCAATTTCTGTCTTAATACTCATTATGTTTGGCATAAACTTTTTTGTCTAATAAATTATATTTCTAGTATTGTTAAACATTTTCTGATTATTCAATCAATTTTAAATTCTATGATGTTTACTTCAAATTAATCATTATCAATTCAACTTTTGGGTATTTAATTAAATATTGAATGAAAATTTTTTTTTTTTATCAAAGGAAATGCATTCTAATTTTTTGTTATCACTAAATTAATTTATTTAAATTATTTTTATAACAACATCATTCTCCAATTGATTTATTATAATATTTTTTCAAAAGTAATTTTTAATCTTATAATGATTGATAATAAGCCCTATTATTTCTATTAAACAAATGGTTTGATAAAGTATTTCAACAAATTATAAATAGCTGAAAATATATTTAAACAATTGTAAATTAGATTAAAATAGGTTGAAATATCAAATTTTCTAACAATTTATATAATCGGTTTAAATACGTAAATCATTTTCAATTTATGTCTCATTTATTGAGTTTATATTATTGATTAGAATAGCAATACCAAAATATACCCATTCTAAATAATTAAAATTACTTTAATTGTATTTCAGGAATGACAATTAAAGTATAAGTATTCGGATTTGTAATTGATGATTTATTTAAATTTAATATCTATCTAAATTAAATAGAATTTTTCAAGATGATTATACATATTCTCTTTAGTTGAAAAACAATTGACCAATATTTTGCTTAAAAATCTTAAATTAAGAACCAAATAAACTAAAAGTATTATAAAAAATACACATTTTTGGATGTAATTTAATATCCTTTTCACATCATAAGATTATTCAATTTTAATTCAATTTATTAAATAATTTGATAAAAAAACTAATATGATACCTGATTATTCTCTTTGAATTTAATATACAATAAAATGTGGACTACAATTATTGTGGTTATATATTCATTATATCATTAAAATTTAAAAACATTATTGTAAATAATATAAGTATTCGGTTTAATTTAATCTATTACCATAAAAATTTATTTATGTTTGTATTTTTTTACATTCATCTCTAATGTTTATAAGTTTAGAAAAACTCCTATCTTTTATTAGATATGAACATGCTTTTTAAAAATGTTTTCCTACTATATCCTTCATCGTTAATAATTTTTGTGAATTTTTGAATTAGTAACTAATGACAATAGATATGACATTTTTTCAAATTGTATTAAGTAATTGCGTATTTAACAATATTACTTCAATGAACTTTAGAGTAGTTGTGTTAAAACATTAAATCGTTTTTAAATTTTCTTATAAAATAGATTAACTGTCGAAGATATACTTAACTAGTCAAATGATCTTGGCTAATAAATGCTTATTCAAATTTTAAATGTTAGTTACGAATAATCTATTATTTTAGGGGAAACACTGTTCTAACAAAAAATAAGACCATTTTGAATTTTGCCCAAAGTTATCAATAAAGAGATTCACCTTATTTTGTCATTAGGAAAAAAGACATAGCATAAATAAATTTCTCTTCAATAAGATTACGATCTGATGCTTAAATATAATGTCTAAGAGGTAATTAATAAGAGCATTTAGCATATTATTTCAAAACCTTCTGATACTCATTAATAGAAAATCTATCCAAACTTTATAGTAAATATTTTTGAGATTTATCAATTTTTCTAATTTATTTAGTGTTTTTAAATCTTTTAATCAACAGCATACCATATTGTTAAAAAATTCCAAATCATCAATCCGTATTCACAATCCTCAAAATTATTCCACCAAGCTCTTAAAATCTTTAAATTCGAGAGATAGTTCATTGTTCTTATTTTAGAATACTTATACTTGGCAATTTAATTATGGACTGAAGGTGGTAAAAATATATGTTTACAAATGTTTAATAATTGTTTTAGATTTTCATAGTTTTTGAATTGCAGCATTGTCTAAAAGAAAACAATAATCATTTTATAATCTAGAATGATGGAGTAAACTGAATAACTCACTATGTAAAAGCTAACAAATACTGAACTAATAAACAAGCTTTTGTATTGAAGTATAAACCTTTAATTGAGGAGAACATTTTTATCACTTTAAATTCTTTAATTTTCTAAAGAGAAAATAATCGTTAAACATATGAATTTTAAATCGATATAGAAGTAAGATTAGAATATCACATTTATGAGTTTTTGGTATTTGTGAATATAAATTTCTTTTTTTAATATAATTGTTTATAATTCTGAAAGTTCTGTCGATATTTTTCCTTTTTCATCTCTGATAAACAAAATTCCGAATCAGATATGTAGTTTTTGATTAAGCAACTTTCTTGATATTGTAGTAAATGTGAGATGGCCATTCTGTTATATTTTCTATA